AAAACCTCAACTATTTGACAAACACAGTAATCGATTTTAGCCACTTGACAATCCTATCCACATTACGTTAATCCCTATTTCTCATCCATACACGTAAACAAAACTCAACAATTAGAAAACGAAAATGAAATACGAAAACCTAACATCAGTTCCGTAAAATGAGTGAAGTCACCTGAAACGGAGCGTTATCGACGGTGATGACGGAGGAGTCAGAGTAAAAATCGGAGCAAGTCAACTTGGGGAACATCAGCGAGTGGAAATCATGACGGAAACAGAGATCCTCTTCCATGATAAATATAAATTAGATCAATTACACAGAAAGTGATTTTTAGGGCAGGCAAAGAGATTTTTTCGGTTGGGGTTTTGTGTGATTTTTCTGGTTGGGTTTTGTGTGATTATTGGTTTTTGTTGTTATTTGATGTTGATGCTATTGATTTTGTATGCTGCAGAAGCGAAGGAGAAGTTGTTGTTGCGTTTACAGGTTGGAGAAGTTATTGTTCTTGGATTTGATTTTGTTGGGGAAGATGATGAATATGTTTGATTTTGTTTAAGAGATATTTGATTTTGTTATAGACATGTATACAAATAGAAGCAGCTGGCCTATTGGTAATGAGGTGTTTCACTATGCATTGATTCCGGGGGTTTGAATCCCAATTGAAGAATTTTTTGAGATATTTTTTATATTTTCATATGAAAGCTAAAGCAACAAATGCCATGTCACTAATTAAATAAATAAAAAATAAGAAAAAGTCACCTAGACCCTGCCATATAGGTATTTGAAGGGAATCTTTAAAGATATATGGCATTTGGGGGCATACTAATAGAACCTAGATAAGATAAGGGGATTTTTATAAATAACTTTTTTTTTACCAGGGACTAAAAATAAAATTTCCTAATATAACAGGGGGATTTGTATATTTAACCCTTTAAAATCAATTTTCATATCAAGGAGGAGTATTGGATACATAAGTTATATCAAGGTAATAAACGAACCTTGGACTCGGGGAAGTAGGGAGACATGTATGATGGGTCCTAAAAAACAAGGTTTGTACAACCTTACCGTTAAAGATCTAATGTTACTCAATGTTAAACAGTGGAATATGCAAACTCTTAGAGACATGTTTGATTATACAGGTGTGGTTGACATTCTACAAGTCTCTTTTGTGAAGGATGTGAAGGAGGATAGGTTGGTTTGGAAGGAGGATCAAAATGGTAGGTATAGTGTTCGATCGGGATATAGAATATGGAGAAAAATTCGGAAAAAGTGTGATGGGGAAATGAAGGTTGAAGATTGGAGTAGTCTTTGGAATATAAAAGCTCTGGCTAGAGTTAAACACCTTATTTGGAGAATATGTCGGGGCTTCCTACCTACTAAGATGAGACTTCGACAACATCATGTTTCTTGCCCGCCTACTTGCCAGATTTGTGATAACTCTCATGAAGATGATTGGCATATATTTTTTTTGGTGTTCGGAATCGTATGAATGTTGGCGGGCTGCCAGGTCGATGATGTTATAGCAACCCTCCTTCTTGATTTTCATGATCCTAAGTATCTTATTCTTGATTTATGCAGTAAAAAGGACATGAAAATTGTCGGTAGAGTTACTGTAATGATGGAAGGAATGTGGAAGAATATGAATGATATGGTTTTCCATAATGAGAAAGAAGAAGCGTCTAAACTTGGTTGGCTTGCTTTTCGTAAGTGGCAAGAATGACTTCCAACCCAACACTCGTTTGATATTGAGGTTGATCATTTTTCCTTGCTGCATTGGATCCCGGTTCATAGTGGGTGGCTTAAATGTAATGTTGATGTAAGCTTTAACCGTCATTTAGGTACAACTAATCGAGGATGGTGTCTTGGGAATGATATGGGTAATTTTGTTACTGCAAGAGCTGTTTTGGACAAATGTTTCCTATCCATCATTGAAGCGGAGGCTCTTGCTCTTAAGGAGGCCATCTAGAGTGTTATTTCTTTGCACATTTCTTTTGTTGTGTTTGAAAATGATTCCTAAAAGGTGATTCATGCTCTTCGGTCTAACTTTGACGGGAACTCTGAGTTTAATTTTATTACTCAATCTATTAAATCATTTATTAGATTTTTCCAACTTTGAAGTAAGGTTTATGAAACACCGAGCGAATATGATTTTCCATTCCTTAGCTAAGGCGACCAATATTTGGACTAGACGTGTTTTATTTGATGAAATTCTTCCTTATATTACTTTATATTTGATTAATGAAAGTAATTAACTTTACTTTTTTCAAAATAATCAATTTTCATAATCAATTTTTATCACTTCAGTCCAAAACACACATTAAATATATTAAATATATGTTTGATTTCAAGTTTAGAAAGTCCATAATTAGTTCCCAATACGTAATATTGATTTTAACATATTTGATTATCTTCGAATAAAATTCATCCAGCCTCTCAAATTGGTTCAAATTTAAAATTAGAATTTATAATATTTATATCTAAACTTAATTTTTAGACTAAAAATTATCGTTCAACTCTCTTTTTTACAAATATATAAATATAAATTGTTTTACATCAACTCATTTTAATCAAAACTAATTTTATATAATCAATTCACTCAAAAATAAAATAAAATTTATCATCTTTTACCCTTGAGACAAACCACTTTGGTCTACATTTATGAAACCAAAGTAACTCTTCATGATAAAAAAACATATTCTTTCCACATAAGGGAATTTATTTATAGACTTAATATCTCTTTTAATCCTTTAATTTTATTCAATGTTTCGTTTTAGTCCCTTAAATAAAAATGTTACATAAAGGTCCATTAATTTATATTTCGTTACATATTTTAGTCTTGCCGTTAGTTTTTGAAGAAAAAACGTTAAAAGTTGTCTTGCTGGACATATATAATATGAGGTGACTTTTGTAATTGATTTTTTTATATTTATTTTTATTTATTAAACATTCAAATGTCTCTCTTTTCCTTTTCCTCTAACCTTAGCCGCTAACTTCTTTTCTCTTCATCTTCTCTTATCCTATGTCGTTCTTCATCTTCTCTTCTTCATTCAACATTGGTGGCCTCTTTGCTTACAAGGATAAAGAAATGGAAGTGAGTTTCAAAGTTTGGTGGAAGGCGTGGTGTGGTTGGTTGTGAGTTGTGGTGGATGAAGATGCTTGGATGGTCGATCTGTGAAGTGTTGACGGTGTTGGCGCTGGATCCAAAGAGAGAGTCTTCAACTATGTGAATCAAATAAACCCTTTGGTATTCATTGACACAATTTTATACTAAACTTTATACTATCTATGGATGGTATTATTTCTTAAAATTTCAATTTTTATTTTTTTATTTATTTGGGTTATATTGTTCTTGGTTGGTCTCCTTGAATTTTTGGTCTTGAATTGATGTTTCTATTGAAGGAAAGAAAGTTCTTATTTTTCTCAAATAAAGTTCTTATTTTTGTGCCCATTTATTCTGAATATTTCTTGTTTGTAGTTTTTTCAACTTGTTATTACTGAGCACTAACATGATGTTGTTGCAACTCTTGTACAGATGCTTTCAAAGCTTCCAACAGTAGGTATGCGCCGTCATGATCTAAAGAGAACCGAATATCTCACCAAAGACAAACAAAATTGCATTCCTTTCCAGTTTTGATCAATACTGGAGTGTTAGATTTTATATAGTTATTTGTTTCATTATGCTATGTAAAAGAATTTCGATTATGATATTATTGTAGATCTGGTTTTATATCTGATTTTCTCATGTAAAATTCTGTTTTGATGTGGAATATTCTGATTTTCTTATGAAAAGAGAAGAATTGTTATACTTTTTTACATATTATTAACCTTGATTCATTCATTTTGAGAATGTATTGGTGTTGATATAAATGTAATAAGGAATTTGATTTTGTGCATAATTTGTATTAATTTTGTGCAAGATCAAGCTTTTCGATACTCGTTTTAGTACGAAGGGATCTACAATCTTGCTGACTCAATGAACTACAAAATAAACCCAGAAATAATAATAACATTAATGGTAACAACAAATTAATAATAATAACCTAATAATAATCTAGAAATAAAATCATTAGCCTAACTAAAAAGATGCAAAAAATAATAATAATAATAATAATAATAATAATAATAATAATAATAATAATAATAATAATAATAATAATAATAATAATAATAATAATAATAATAATAATAATAATAATAATAACTGAAAAACAAACTAGTAATAATAGTTTTAGAAATAAAATAATATCTTACTAAACCAACTAATAACAATAAAATGAGCAAAAATATAGAATAAAAAACAATGAAATTAAAAATATTAAATAAAATATCAATCTTTTTATTTAATTTGCTGGCTCAGAATCCTAGTTGTCATGCGACCTTAGCCATAATTAACATTTTTTCACTCAAACTAACAGATGGAACCAAATGATTTAACATAAGTGAAGTTAAAGGATCATTATGTAACATTTTTTAATTCGAGGACCAAAGCAAAACTTTGCTTAAAGTTAAGGGACATATGGACTAATTATGTCTTATTTATAATAATGATTCTATGCTGAAGTTAAAAAGCTTTTAGATAAATGAAATGAGTATTGAAATTCTGAACTATTATTATCATTATTATGATACAAATGAAAAAACAAATCCTTGTTTATGTTAATTCTAAATTCCTATTTTTTTCACATATCTAAATTGTCCTAATTTTAACCAAATACAGAAACAAATTCTGACAATAATTTAGAAGTATAGTTACTAATCTTACTTGAATCTGCATAGCTAACCATCATATTATCTATCAATCTTTTCTTATCATCTAAGAGGAACTTACCTATTTTTATTTTGAAAAATGACAGCAATGCATCAAGCAAAAGAATATCTAATAGTTTGAAGTCACAATTGTGTAACACGTAGTACTCAAAGAAAGATTGATCAAGTGATAAAATAACTTTGCTGCTGTGCATGAGAATTCTTACGTTCGAAATGAGATTTTTTGTTTCTATAGCTACTAATTATTACTTACATTTGAAGATTGGAGACATTCCTTTATAATTTCCTTGATCTTTCTTTTCATTAATTTATCTTTCACACCAGCTATCATGTCGCGGTAAAACATTTCCATCCTAGCTAGCTTCCTATCATCTGCTGCCTCTAACATGTCATCCCATTCTTTGGCAATATTCATGGAACCCGAATCCCGCATCGAAACAGGAATATCATGTTCATCAAAAGGTTTTCCAAAAATAGAGCCGTGAAGTATGCTGGCATATTTTTCCATTGTAGATAGCTTTGTTTGAAGCAGCTTCACCTCATTCAACGCTGAGGATAGTTTCTCATCTGTTTCTGTTATTACTTTGGGTTTCTTTTCTGCGACGTTATCTTGCTCATCCGAGCTCTTCGAATCCTCGTCATTGAGATCCTCCTTTGTTGGAGGCCACAAAACAATGGTGGGAGTGTAACTATCAATTTCCTTACCATTCCCAAGAACACCACTCCTTCCCCTACCCCAAGACCACACCTTATATCCCTTCTGCACGATAACAACGGTGTGTGCAGCCCCACACACAACTTTAACTGGATCTGGAAAAATAGGTTGGTGTGGCTTGTATAAGATGAGAAGGGGGGAGAGGGCATCACCAGAAACTGTTTCACCACGACTGGCGTCAGGACATAAGCCAAGACCCTTCTCCATTCCCCAGGACCACACACCCCCAGTTGAGGAAACAACACTTGTATGAAACAAGCCACAGTCAACAGAAATAAAGTAAGCATTTTGGGGCAACACTTTAACGGGTGTAGGAAATAAAGCGCTTTGCGTTGTTCCATGCCCTAGTTGACCATTTTCGCCAAGGCCAAAGGTCCAACACATGCTTTCTAATGTGTCGGCGAATTCCTTTTTGTGAGTTAGCAAAGCCGTGTGAAATGCACCACATGCTACCTCGTAAATCGTCAAAGGAGAATCCTCGTCGAATACTTTTACAACTTCAGGACGCAGCCTGCTCTGACTATCCCCCAAACCTAATTGGCCATGGCTGTTATAACCCCAAGAGTAGCACAGTAGATCTTCATCCTTGTGTGATTCTGTAGCACTAACCAACGCTACAACATGCTCGTTTCCACACGAAACCTTGACAACCGCTCGACCATGAAAATCCCAGACTGGTCTTGGAATGAAACTGTTTACCAGAGATAACCCACCGTCTTTGTTTTCTTCTGGGATGTTTCCCCATATCCACAGGGTCCCGTGGTTATCAATAGCCAGAGACATCATTCCTCCTGCTTTTACAGTACAAATCTGAGAAAGTTGAACAGATGAAAATTCCTTAATGATGGTGTCACCTTGGCTCATGTTTTAGAACAAAACTAGTGCAACGCATGTTATACCTTTAGTGATACTCTGTCTTCTGCTTCAGATAGACCGGTTGAAGAATCAGGCGGTTGCAACTCAAGAAACCTGCTAAGTAAGCAAGGATCCAGGGAATCATGCGAGTCCTCTCCGCTGATACCAAGTTGACCATCCATAAAGTAGTCAAGGATACAGCAGATATTAGTATATAATATAAAATTGACAAATCTGTAATTGAACTCAATCAAGGGACTACATGCATATTAAGGATACAGATGTTGTAACCCCAGCACCAAACAGATCCATCTTCTGTTAATTCAAAAATAAATTTAAGTGTTAGACGGGGTTACCAGATAAACAAACCAGTATGTTGATCATAATGAAGTTAATAAATACAATTATCGATAACTACACCACTTTGGCTTGGTTCCCATCAAGGGAAAATGATATTCAAATCCCTCTCCCTGGTTATCTCTCCCTGGTTATTAAAGTCTTGCTCCGAGACCAAAAAGAAACATTAGTAAAATACCGAACATATATCTGCATTGCACTTGTGCTGTAATTGATAAATTGTAGAAATTTGTTTGATAGTTTCATAACATTATCATCCCCTTTTGCTTATTTTCACCACCATTGCTGCTCCAAACGTATCATTACATGCATCTCGGTTAGTTTTTTTACAATATAACCAAATTAGTCTATGACATGCCGGAGTACGTCAATACAACAACAAAAACAACAGTCTTATCCACTAAGTATGGTCGGCAACACGAATTAAACAACGGCATAATGTTCTATTATAAACCACAATCCGAGGACATAATGTTCTATCATAAACCACAATCCGAGGACATAATGTTCTATCATAAACCATATTTGGAGGGCATAATATACAAATGCCAAACAAACAGAACAATAGAAAGGGGGAGAAAAGACAAATTGAAATGTATGAAGTGTGTTACAGAACCTGCAAGAGCAAGACTGTGATAAGCACCCGCGGCAATTCCCACTATTTTGACACAGTCACTACTTCCACTAGGGTTTTCAAACTTTACTTTCACCGGAAAAAGTTGATCATTTTGAGAACCAAACCCAAGCCCAAGCCGTCCAAACATTCCTCTACCCCAAGAGTAAACACTTCCATCTTCTACAAAAATCAACCCTCAATCAATCACAGCAGAGACAAATACTTTGTAATTATGCAGTTCGAGAATTCAATGTATAGTTTTTCTAGAGTTCGGAGTGTATTGAAGGGGCTTACCGGAAAGAAGGAGAGTGTGTGATTCACCGGCAGCTATGTCAACGACCTTGCGGGATGGATTGTCGGAGCTCCGAGAGGTTTCGGTGGCTTCCATTGCCTCCGACGAGAAGACACAGAAACACAAGCTCTATGTGTGTTACTGTTATCTTCTGGTAGTAACCAGGATCTCACTATTTGTGACTCGTTCTCAGAGAAAGTATCTACTCCAATTTTTCTTGGTCTTAAAATGATTCTTTTTATTTATTTATAAATATTAGAGTTAGAGTGGATGAAGAGTGTAAAATAGTTTTATAATTAAAATAGATTATTTAGTTATGTTATATAATTTATTTAAAAAGAATAGTTTGATTTGTCACTTTTAATATATATGATTTTGATTGGTTGATAATTTTTGATATTAATATATATTGTTTATTCTCTAAATATTATTTTTCTGTCTCATAAAAATTATCTCATTTACATTTTTTTTTATCTCTCAAAATAAATATCTTTTTTGAATATCAATACAATATTTATTATTTTTTTACTATTATATCTTTATTTAATACTTTTAGGTTTTTCAACTATTTTATTAGTAAGAGATTATAAGTAATAAATATAATATAATATAATGATGATTAAAAAATATATTTAAAAGATATACAAATTAAGTATTCTTTGTACGTCGAAAATGTAAATTTTAGTAGAAAAAATAAATGAAATAACTAAGTTGTCATCAACCTGTGCGTTTGCACGGGTCGCACAATGTCGTTATAAGTAGTAAATATATATAATATAGTGATGGTTAAGAAATGTATTTAAGTAGTCTCGATCCATCGAAAAATATATTTTAGTAAAAATAAATAAATAAAATAATTAAGTTGTCATTTATATGTGCGTTCGCAGAGATTGTGCAATTTTGTTATAAATAGTAAATAAATATAGTACAATGATGGTTAAGAAATGCATATAAAAGATATACAAATTAATTAGTTTCAACTCGTCGAAAATATATATTTTAGTAGAAAAAATAAAATAAATAATTAAGTTGTCATTTATCCATACGTTTGCACAGGTTGCACAATGTCGTTATAAATAGTAAATAAATATAGTATAGTGATGGTTAAAAAATATATATGAAATATATACAAATTAAATAGTCTCAGTCTGTCAGAAATATATATTTTTGTAGAAAAATAATCAAGTAATCATTTACTAGTGCATTAGCACGGATCACACAATATCATTATAAATGATAAATAAATATAATATATTAATGATTAAATAATATATATAAAATATAAAAAGAATAATAAATTTTTATTTTCATAAGAAATTTATCTATTCACCCATCATAATTGTCTCATATTTTTTTATAAAAAATAAATATTTATATTATTTTTTATTATAAATGTTAATATTTTATTATAAAACTCATTGAGTGCAAGCCTTTTCGGTTGAAGCATATATTTTGCATATGCTTATACTTATAGTGGATGTTTTTCATTGTTTGCATTGATAACTAAATTGCCTTTACGTTTCCAGTGCTAATTCATTAGGCATGTCATATTGGTAATCGAAAAGTGCCATATTCTCTATAAAAAAATGTAACAGGTACAAAGTAAATCTCAATCATAATTAAATTAATGGATAATTCGTGCTATCGCACGGGTCTCGTATGATTTTCACATCACATGATTTAATATTGATTTGTAAAGTTCTATCTTGTGTCAAAATTAAACTAATAAAAATCAATCAAAATACAATCAATTTTAAACGTAATATTAAATTATACAACAAAACTTACATTACTTACAAAAATAATACTCAAATTTTTAATCATTATAAGTCCAAATAAAAACTTCGTAATATTATAAATTTCAATGTTGAACTTGTAAATGAATGAATCAACCAACAACAACGACTCACATCACACACTTGCATGGAAAAATATATCAAAGAACACATTCAATATTAAGCATTTTTAAAAAATTAATAAAAATATGTGGAATTTAAACACATAAATTAAACATTGGGATTTAATTTGTATCACAAAGAATAAGGTGAAAAGGATTACCAACTAACAAAGTGCGTGGAAGACTTCTTTGTATACAACATTCGTAGTGGTCGAACACAGTGCATTCTGCTTGTCATGTATTAAGATTTTAAGACCACTCTTGATTGTGACCCTCGAAATTGCAACATACAATTGTCCATGACTAAAAACATGTGTAGGCAAATATAATCTGATATTATCAAGCGATTGACCTTGTGATTTATTAATTGTCATTGCATATGAGACAATGATTGAAAATTGTCTCCTAATCAACTTGAATGGCCACGGTGACTCAGAAGGTGACATGGACATTCGAGGAATATAAAAAATGTTACCTATGTTTTTTTCGGACATAATTTTTGCCTCAATGACGTGGTTTGCTAACCTTGTAACAATTAATCTTGTCCCATTGCACAATCCACACTACGCCAAAAATAAGCTTTAGCAGCACACATACGAAAGCGCTTTTAGGAAAAAGCGCTGTTGTAGGTATTAAAAAAAATTCGCTTAAAAAAAGCGCTTTCAAAGGGTTCCTTAAGAAAGCGCTTTTCAAAAGCGCTGCTAAAGGTCACTCTTAGAAAGCGCTTTTTGAGAAGCGCTGCTAAAGAGTGCCTTTCAGAGGGAACCTAAGAAAGCGCTTTTCAAAAGCGCTGCTAAAGGTCAGCCTTAGAAAGCGCTTTTCAAAAGCGCTGCTAAATCTGGCCTTTAGAAAGCGCTTTTAAAAGCGCTGCTATAGGATATGCTACGAAAGCGCTTTTTTATGTAAAAGCGCTGTTATACATGACCATTAGAAAGCGCTTTTAAAAGCGCTTTCGTAGGTTGTTTTATAATAAATTTTATTGTTTTTGATTAAAGGTGTGTTCGTACTGTGGCTGTTGTGTTTCCTTTCTTCCAACGTCCCAACCCCCAAATTCGTTCCTGTTCCTTCTTCGTCCTCTCACGGTAGCTCTTTCCGTTCAATCGCCACCATCGTCAACTCTCATCGCCGCCACACGACTCGTCCCTCTCTTCACAAGGTTCGTACTGTGGCTGTTATGTATTCTGAAATCAGTTTTGATTTTTGTTGATTATTATTTTCTTCTCATTCACAGTGTATTGGTTGTTGTTGTTGTTTGATGATTTTTGAATGTTTCCTAAAACCCTTTGATGATTTTTTTGTTACCTTTTTTTTGGAGCAATGGACGGTTTAGTGTTAGGTGATTATGTTTTAAAAGTTATTGAGCGTTTATTGAATAATCGGGCACGGAATATATTCTTGGAAGCCATAGTCCCTCAGATACGCATATACTCCCTCAGCCATCAGCCCTCTTCCATTAAACCTTGTTTTCATGACAATTTGATTCCTATTTGGTGTTAAATTGAGTAACAGAATTTTGACAGCATTACTATTTTTGTTTAATTGGTGAGTTTCTAATGATGGTTAATAATGTATTTTGGGAGCGAATTTCATTGGGTTTGGTTTTTGACTGTGAATAGAATTAATGTTGAATTTGTGATGATGTTATTGTATGGTTATTGAGCTAATTGTTGAGAATTTGATCCCATGTTCATTTTGAGCCAATGGAAGGAGATGTTATTAATATGTTATTTCATTTTGAGTTAATCTTGAATGAATTAAACTTGGTGTTGATTTTGATTGTTCCTAATTTTGTTTTAAAACATGTTGGCTTTGAATTTGTGATGACATTGTGTGATTTGGTTTTGAATGACGAACTCGGTTATGGTATTGTTGTTTATCGTGTGCACATGGAACACTTGTTTGAGATGAGTTTTATTGAGCATTATTAGGATTACATAGTTGTTTCCCGGAATTTGGTTCGGTTGATTTTAGCTTACTTTGAGCTTGATTTTTCATATCATGAACTTGAATTGGATAAGAGCTTGAATTTTTGGTTCCCGTTTTCATTTGTGAATCGATAATCATGATAACTGTTTGATAACTTGATGTCCATTCATGATGCATTCATACAAGTTTCATTTGGTTTCAATTCTCTTGTGATTACTAACTTGTTTATGGTTTGTGTAAGTTTCTCAAGACTAATCAAGTAGTCATTCTCTCTTCTTACCTCTTATTCACTTTTGATTGATTAATTAAGTTTTGATTTATTTACTTGATTTTTTTTATTAAAAGTGGATTAGTTTATTAATCTATTTTTCTTAACTCGATGAGGCCATGCCATATATAAGAAACAGATGAAGTTTGGTATAGGGTAGCCCTTGAGTTTGATGAAACAAGGGTGTACTAGTATATAAGAAACGAACATGTAGAGGGCTGTGCTAATGATGTTGTGTTGTGTTAGTGAATGGTGGTGGAAATTATGATTCATTAACAAACGGGGTTACCCATTTCACATTACCATTCATTATTATGTATCTATATATCTATATCTATATGTATATTTAATTAGAGATAATGTAAAGTGATTAATTAACTTGTTAATGAGATGAATAAAGAAACAAAAACAAATTTTTAAGGTAACAGAATGCATGCTTATATAAAATTGTGAGAGTTAAGAATTGTGATTAGTGATGTAATCATAAAATGTGATTAGTTGATAGAATAAAATGAATTTAGTGAAAAGTATTGAGTATTGGTTTTGTTATATGGTTGTGCAAGAGCAAGTGTAAGTTTTGAGTATTGGTTTTGTTTTCTAACTTATCATTTAGCTCAGATTGACTCAGAAACCGTAAACCATGGATAAGACATGGATGTATTCCAATCGATTGTCGAAAGAGTACGAGAACGGGGTATCGGAATTCGTTAAGTTTGTTGTTGCGCACGCTGAAGACCCCGGTCGAATGACATGTCCTTGTTTGTGTTGCTGTTATGGGAATCGGGTTGACGCGGTTCAGTTGGCATCGCATCTAATACGGTATGGAATTGATAGAAGTTATACATGTTGGAATATGCATGGTGAGAAAAGTGACGGGAATGATGAATCGGGGGATAATATGACTTATGCTTCAAACGACAATGGCACAGATACATACGATTATGATCGAGTTGAAGAGATTGCAAAAGCGCTTGAAGAAGATCTTAATGATTGTCCCAAAATGTT